AGATGTTTGGCTGCAGTTTCCAAGTCTAGACATAATCCTCCATGTTAGACAAGGGCCTAGCCTGCATGTAATTGTGTCTTCATCTTATCTGTGTGTGTGTGTGTGCTACAGTGGATAAGCTCTGGCCACACAGTGTATGCTGAGGCTCTCTGGGACCATGTGACCATGGAGGAGCAGGAGCTGGCCTTTAAGGCTGGAGATGTTATCCGTGTCCTGGATGCCTCGCATAAGGACTGGTGGTGGGGCAGGGGGGCCGACAGGGAGGCCTGGTTCCCCTCCAGCTTTGTGAGGGTAAGTGGACTTCCTGACCCGTGTGTCCAACGCATGTTTGCTCTCCAGAAGCACAGAAAAGACTTGGCAAACTGGCTGGGCTCCAAACAAACCTCAAACAACAGTTTGTTAGGGTTCAAACCTCAGAGGTTCAGCTGGTTTCTGTGGCGACCAGCACTGATTGAGTCTTAATTAGGCAGGCTGTGGTTACCAAGGTGAGGTTATTTGATTGGCAGATGGCCGTCTGCTGTGTAATTGCTTGTAGCTGAATCAAATTGGCTGAACAAGAGCTGGTTAATCTTGCACACATTGTTACCATAGTGACGTAGAGTTTTTTTGTATGAAATAGTTGTTTTCTATTTTGTAATAATTATTTTTCTTAACTGCAATCTTTAGTTAACATAATTGAACACAAGATTATATATCTATTTGTTTGACATGTGTGGTGTTGAAGTTGGCTCTGAGGACTTAATTGTGATTTGAAAGCTGCTCATTGTGTGTGGTGGATGTGTTTCAGGTGCGAGTGAACCAGGAGGACTCGAGTGCAGAAAGTGTGGAGAGCGTAGCGGACCAAGAAGATCCAACTCCCAGAGACACACACAGCGCTCAGCACAAGGAGCAGATGAGAACCAATGTGGTTCAGGAAATCATGAACACAGAACGCATCTACATCAAGCACCTGAAAGACATCTGTGAGGTACAGGTTTCCATATTTTACATCTAGGGCTGCTCCAGCTCTAATACTTTTTATGTAATCAATACACCATTTTGTGCTCTTTAGCAGTCATTCATTTGAACAAATGTCACCTTTTCTGTAGTAATATACAACAATAAGATAGATTTGTATTTCAGGACTGACTTTACAGGTTAGCACCTCCTGTTGACCAGTGTTTGAACTTTTTTGTATTCCCTCTGTCAGTGAAGTAAACATGCTTTTTGTTTCAGGGTTACATCCGTCAGTGCCGTAAACACCCAGACATGTTCACTGAGCCGCAGTTGAAGACCATCTTCAGCAACATAGAAGACATCTACCGGTTTCAGAGGCAGTTTCTCAAAGACCTGGAGAAGAAATACAACAAAGACCAACCGCATCTCAGTGAAATAGGCTCTTGCTTTCTTTTGCAGGTACAAAACCTTCCCTAGTTTACTTAATCACTAGTTTATATTCCTGAACTTAATCTGTATTCATTGTTTCTCTTTTGTCCTTAGGACGAGGGCTTCTCTATCTACTCGGACTACTGTAACACTCACCCAGCAGCCAGTGCTGAGCTGCACCGCCTCATGAAGTCGGGAAAATATAAACATTTCTTTGAGGCCTGTCGGCTCCTCCAGCAGATGATTGACATTTCCATCGCAGGGTTCCTGCTCACGCCCGTCCAGAAGATCTGTAAATACCCCCTGCAGCTGGGAGAACTGCTGAAGTACACCCCCAAAGACCACAGGTACTCACAATGGCATTGTTTAGTCTGCTAATACATGCTGTGTGTATAGCAAAGCATCACCCATCATTTGTCCACATTTTTAAATAAACAATTGACAACGGTTGTCCTGATTGAGATTGATGCCGTGTGTTAGTTTGAATGGAGATGTCGTATGTGTGTGTAAAGTGAACCTTATGCCTATTGTGCCTCTGATGTATTGCAGTGACTTCAGCGGAGTGAGCAAAGCGTACGAGGCTATGAAGAACGTGGCGAGTCTGATCAATGAGAGGAAGAGGCGGCTGGAGAGTGTGGACACCATCGCTCACTGGCAGGTGGCCATTCAAAACTGGGAGGTGAGGATCAAACTAGCCTATATGTTCCGTCAACTCTTTTTACCCTCATTTACGTTCAAAGCTCCTTCAGACTGGAATAATATAAGTGGGTTATTGTAGCAGTACATTTTGCCCTTTTACGGCCCGTCCACACAGCGGCGTGCGTTGAAAGCTTCACCATTCACTTTGGATGGGGTGACGTCACTTTTCGCCGAACTGCATTGTGGGAAGCGACGCGGAGCTTTGCTGGCGTGGCTCGCTGCAAAAGTTGAGCAATGTTCAACTTTTGAAGCCTCGGCAGAAGCGTCAGCCAATCGAATCATATGCCAGTACAAGCTCTAGCCAATCAAACCGCTGCTTGTGTGTCAGGGGCGGGAGATTCATGTGAGTTTCAGACACGCCCGCCGGCAAGCTTCAACGCACGCCGCTGTGTGGACGGGCCGTTACAGTCATGTTTCTTATTTTGCTGTTAAATGTACATTGATGATGTGTCACGCACAAAACACTGTTTGTTTTTATTTTATTGCTGAGGCAAATGTATTTGTTCATGGCCTCTCTGTGGCCGTATTGTGGTTATGTCCAAATATCTTTCTTTAATTTGTGTGTTGCGATTGTAGTCTTGTATGTGGGCTGTATTGTGACTTGATTTGGTTTTCTTTATTTGTACTGTCTTGCTGTTTGTTATATATGTTAGGACCCCCTTGAAAACAAGATGGTTCATCTCAAGGGGTTTATTCCTTAATAAATACATTTCAGTCTAACCCTGTTTTATACATTGTATATATCTTTTGACTTTGTCTATGTAAACGTGTCGCTGCAGGGGCCTGATGTGCTTGAACGCAGCTCAGAGCTGATCCACTCTGGTGAGCTGACCCGAGGCGTCCGACAGGGCAAACTGCAGCAGCGCAGCTTCTTCCTGTTCGACCACCAGCTGGTGTTCTGTAAGAAAGACGTCCTGCGCAGAGACCTGCTCCACTACCGGGGGCGGCTGGATATGGACCAGACCGAGGTGTTGGACATGGCCGACGGGAGGGACCTGGACCTGGGCCTGACCCTGAGGAACGCTCTGCGCCTGCGCAACGCCAACACCCTGGAGTTTGTGTGCGTGCTGTGCTGCAGGAAGGCCGAGGACAAGCAGAGGTGGTTACAGGCCTTTGCCAAGGAGCGATACAGAGTGAAGGAGGACCAGGAGATGGGTGAGTGCTGAGGAATTCCTTTCATTCGTGACGCAAAAGGGCCACTGTGGGTGTAATGTCAAATAAAAAGGGAACAGATTGTTGGTTGAAGGGGAGTAAATATTTTGGCATCATGGTGTGTTTCTTTGCAGGAATGGAGATCAGTGAAGAGCAAAGAAAACAGGCCATTGTTAATGCCAGAAGAGCCAAACAGAAGAAGAGCAAAAGTAAAGCCTTGCATCATTTAAATGTATCTTGTTTTTTATATTCACTTAAAGTTGAATTGCTAATGTTTTGTTGCTTCACCCGTTTACCTTTTTTCAGCCATTGGTTACTCTGGCTCCGTCCCCACACACCACCCGAACCTGCACCCGCTCCACCAGCGTCACATCACCATACCCACCAGCGTGCCTCAGCAGCAGGTCTTCTCATTGGCCGAGCCCCCGAAACGAAAGCCTTACCATCTGTTGTACAGCATCACCCGCAACACCTTTTTCAAGAAATGAGACTTTGCTCCCTATGCTCTCCTCCCTGTGCATGTTCAGACATCACAACGTCCAGAAGACTCAAAGAACACTTTATTTTTTCCTGTATTTTTCTGTGAATGTATCGTCGATTTATGTTTTTTGTGCCTCTTGTGTCTTTCTTTGTGTTTGTTGCATCGTGGCGTTCAGTGCCTACAACTTGGAAGAAGATTGACCAGAGTATGGAAATACTGACTCCATGTTGCCGGTGTTAAAAAAGCTGCTCACTCAAGTGAATCCCACCCTTTTTGTCCTATTAATTCCAGCTGAAAGATATTGTTTGTTAATTATGACAAAGTGTATATTTTTGCCTTTACGTTGTCATACGTTATTTCAGTGGCTGGACCCTTTTTTTTTTGCTTCGAGTCTGTCAACTCTGAGCACAGCCAGAGGATAAATGAACTGACAGTCCACTACCTTGTTAACACTGTAAATAAAACTCTTGTACAAACATACCTAACGAGAATGATGTCACTTTAAGATAATTCTGTTTGCTCCCCAGGGTGTCCGCGGGGTCTTGAAGTATTACAAGTTGATCAATCAATTTAGCCAAAATTAAGGCTATTAAAAAGTATTAAACGGCATTTTCCAAGGTATTACATTTTGTAGCTTGTTTTCAATAAGTATATAAATGGTCCAAAGAGGTTGTATTCTACAGTATGCCTGAATGTAATCATGGCGTAGGTGTGTAGTGTGATTCTGTGTAGTTTATTTATGGCATCCCGTTGGATTTGATGTCATCTGAACAGGACATCGCACGCTCACTGCTTGATAGCGCGCGAAGGCCCGTTTACGCCGGTTGTTAAACAACATCGTTATGGGGAAATGCAAGTTTGCGTCCAAATGGTTGGAAGATAAGGAGGAAGGACAATCAATACTGTATATAGTAAATGTGAGGTAAAGTGTGTCGCCAATGTAACCGGTTAGAACTCGAAGTGGGGATGAGGTTTAAAATGTATGGAAAGGGTGTTAAAAGGTTAAATTACATTTGACTTCAGGATTCCTGCATATACCCTGCAAAACACACTAGACGTTGTTAGTGGTTGTTGCATATGACTTCATGTGAAGTGGATAGGTAATGAATGAAACATTAGCCATATGACGGGAGGAGGTACGTTCCTATCGACGAGCTCCCTGCTTCTCCTCCAGCAGGATCTGGTTTCACACACCTGTCGACTCTGCCTCTAAACACTGTGCTGCTCTTCTCTGTTTCTGTGTCTGCTGCTGTTTTTACAAGGCCTTTATTGTTCCAAAGAAGAAGAGAATGGATGTAAAGAGCAGGAAGTCAGGCATTAGATGATAGAGGCTTGACGGGATGCCTGTGTCATGGGCACAGAGGGCGAGGCGAACGAGAAGACAAGCACAGATGAAGATGCATCTCAGCCGGAAGCTGCCAGTGTGAGTAAGATATATCTTTAACGGTGGTGTAACTTCTATAGAGGCACTTTGACTTAAACCGCAATATTTCATATCCTCCTGTCACATTTTAATTGAAAACATAGCTTCTCCAGATAAAACCCTGGAGATGATCAAAACCTTTAGCTCACATCTTATGTCATGCCGCTTGATTAAATGTGTGAAATAGATTAAAACATTTATCTTTTTCCCGTGGGAATCTATACCCTGCTGATGGATTGCCGCTTGCACAGTATGGGATGACACTGAATGAATAATATATGTGCTTTGGGTAACTTAATGAGAGCTGATGCTGCATCTGATGGAGTTACTGCTCTTCACAAGCTGAAGTGATGCAGCGTCATGTCCAGTAGACACAACATTACATCACCGTCTGTAGATTAGCAGATTAGTGTTGTTTAACTTTATCAACATGGATGCTCTGATCTTAAACTCTCATGTCTGTGAATTCTGGATTGATTAGCCTTTTGTTCAGCCTTTTGTAATCTAAACTACCTGACCTGGATAAGGTACAGAGATAAGAGACGAATGGTAGCTGCAAGGTTATGCCCTCGTGCCCTCATGCCCTTATTGTAAAAAGACTCTTGCCTTTTAGTATCCTGTAAACTCTAAAGCACTTTAGGGATTTACAGTATCAAGAGACACTTGCGGGATATTCTCCCATCATTTCAGCATCATTAACCACATCCCTCTATTACAATCCCCACAGATTGAGGTGACAACTGTAAAAGGGCAAGTCAAATATACTGCTACAATAACCCACTTTGCATTATGTGTCTTCTTTCCCGCCAATAGATCGCAGATGTGTCCGTGGAGGTTTCCACAGTGGACCACACTCTGCAGAAGATCTGCAGGAAGTACAGTAAGACCAGACGAAAGCCTAAAGGTCTCCAGAGGCTGTGGGCCCACCTGCTGAGCATCCCCCACCTCGCTGTCATCATCACAGCCGTGGTGTTTGTGGTGGTGGTGATCATGTGGTCACTGCTGTGGGTCTTCATTTGTAAGTGAGAGGATTAGGACAGTCAAAGGGCCAGTGTGTAGGAAATTATAACTTAATTCATAACCATTTTTTCATTGCTGTACATCACCTTCATAAGCTTCAAATGAGCACTTTACATCCATCAATATGTTCCCTGTGTAATTATAATACTACATCACATTGAAACTTCGCCATATAATGACTAAATGTCCTTAGTTCGCAGGGAAAGCAACAGTGGAGCGTATTTTGCCGGGATGTTCCGCGTTGCCAACGTTGAGTTTATCCCTGAGTACCGCCAGGCAGAGTCCAATGAGTTTGTGTCCATGGCTAACAAAATACAACACGTGGTATGTATCCATGTAAACCATGTGTGGATTGTTGAATGGGCCTATTGCGCACAGACACAGGGGCTTTTACCTGTGGCCTTTATCTACAAAATGTAACATGTCATATATAAGATGTCTACCAACTAAGACATTTAAGATGATCACAGAGAAACATTGAAGACACACAAAAAAACACAAGATATGCAAAACAGCGGCAAAGATACCAGAACAACCCAAAGTAACTACAAAGTGCTACAACACCACTACGAATGGCCAGAGAAACTAGAGAAACATTGATGACATGCAAAACAGTTGCAAAGAGACACAAAATGCTTACAGAACAACCCAAAATAACTAAACGGTTAAACCAAATAGTAAAAAAGACATTAAACCTCAACAAAATATTGTTTGAATATCTTTACCTTCTGCATGTCTGTGCCCAGGGGCCTGCTTTCTCACAATCTGCCCATCACATAATCCTGTTATTTACAGGATGGTTAGTGCTGACCATGAGATCTGAGAGAGTCTCACTGTTAACTGCTGGTGTCTCGTAGGTGAGCAATGTGTACAAGATGTCTTCGGTGGCCCGACTCTACAAGCAAGCTGTCATTTCAGACCTCAGGTAGGTTAGTCATGATCAGCGTGAAGCAAAATGAGCACACGCTGATATTCAGAATGTAGTTTCTCAGTTCCACACACTTATAATGTGTTTTTTCTCACCCCAGTAACACCAACAAGGGCGGTGTGCTGGTGCATTTCTGGATGGTGTTTGTTGTCCCTCGACTAAAGAGCCCTGCAGTGTGTGAGGAGTGTGTGGGAGCCATCTTTAGGGACTCAGTCCACACCAGCATGAAGAACAGGTCCAATGTAGGCTACCTGCTGGGCCTCCCAGTGGATTTAGACTCCATCCTCATTAATGGTGCGTCAGTGTGTTAAATGAACATCCCAACAGTGTGTATCAACAAAGTGTATAATAATTGTGTCTTCCTGCAGTCGTTCAGCGATCAGATTACTCATCAAATGGAGCAAGTAGGTGATGATACTCAACTCTGGTGCAGTCATAGTTCAACGAGAGGAGTGCATTAAGGTGTTTTCTCCCCTCAGGCTCACAGTGTGTAGACAAGCTGCATGCCAGCCTTCCTGGAGGGAGCGTCCCTTTAAACGTCTTCTCCTCATGGGGGGGTGTGAACTGCCATGTGAAGCTCACCTCAGTGCCCGGCTCTCTGATCCGCCTCACCGTCACCTCGTTCCTCATCGAGCCCAGCGACTGTGTGAGCGACGCTCTGACGGTGTACGACGCTCTGCTGCCCATGAGAGGGCGCATTCTGCACAGGTGAGTGTGTAGCCTCCATCAGACCAATGATTCTCTCCATGTATCACCAGAGGTGGAATCAGTATTCAGGTTCTTCACTTGAGTAAAATTACTAATACCAAGCTGTAAAAATACTCAATTCCATGTTAAAGTACTGCGTGGAGAATGGTACTTATGTAAACATATTTAAGTACGATTAGGGAAATCTACTTAAAGCGTTAGGAATAAAAGTACTAAATCAAAAGCGTAAAATCTTCACATTTAAGAAGATGGAACTGTGAATAATTTTTTACTTCTTAGCAAAATTGCTGTCAATTAATTTTCTGTTAACCCCCTCATTGTTTAAGTCACTTAAATATAATATTGGATGGTTTAATCTATACCAAATAATAATATTTTAAACTGGTTTTCCTTAGTCTTGTGTGTCAAAATCAGATTTGATAAGTAAGTAATAGAGTAGAAATATAATGTGTGTGTGTGTGTGTGTGTGTGTGTGTGTGTGTGTGTGTGTGTGTGTGTGTGTGTGTGTGTGTGTGTGTGTGTGTGTGTGTGTGTGTGTGTGTGTGTGTGTGTGTGTGTGTGTGTGTGTGTGTGTGTGTGTGTGTGTGTGTGTGTGTGTGTGTGTGTGTGTGTGTGTGTGTGTGTGTGTGTGTGTGTGTGTGTGTGTGTTGCGTGTTGCAGGCTGTGTGAGCCAGTGTCCAGTTCCTTCTCCATGGTGTCTACCTCCAATGTCATGCTGCTGTCCTTCAGGATGACCAATGGCAACAAGAGCTTCAGAGGACACTTCGAGGCCATCGCTGAAGAAAGTAAGACACATTTCCCTTGTATTTTTACATGCCAGGGGTTCTTAATCTTATTGTTTAATGTTCTTATTGCATTTTAAAGAGGCCTCTCTTGATCTTGAGGCCTCTTTAGGATGCTCCAGTGCTGAAAGTGTAACCTGTCTCTTCCAGTGTGTATGTCTCAAATTGAGACCCACGTAAAGCCTCACATCAGCGATCAAATCTACAGCCCCTTCCACCCCAGCCTCCTGCCCCCCCAGTGCTTCTGCTCCTGGAAGTTTCAGGTAGAGCCCGCACACATGCATGACTTATTTTTGTAATGCTGCCAGAAAATTGATTATGAAATGTGTTTGCATTTGATTCTAGACCCCTAACAGTGCTTTAGGAGTTGCACTGCAGTTTCAGAACTATGTATTGACCCCAAAGAGCATGAAGGGCTGTGAACAAGGCTGGTGGAAGGTCAATGAAATCATGTGAGTGGATACAACTCAAAACAAAAAGTCCACTCATTTATTTCAGATTATTTTATCCTTTTTTACAAATATCCACAAACATGAGAGTTTCTGTTGCTTTCCCTCCACAGTTTCTGCGGCAGCTACGTGGGACACAGCACGGTGTTTCGGATCGCTGACCACAGCCCAGAGGTGGAGTTTCGCTGCAGCTCACGTAACTCTGCTCAGCCTTTTCAGGCGTCGCACAGCAGCTTCAACATCAGCCAACGTAAGCAAAGCCGGGACCCAAAACATGAGTCATTAAAGCAGCCTGGAGGCGCTGTAGGAAATGGAAGATGTACTTTAGTATGGATGTTGATGGCTTTAGTTTAAACGCGTCAACAGACATAAAACTAACTTTTGTTTAATGTATCTTTCCCCACTTGTGTGTACCAGCCTGTCCAGAGAGCCACTTCCTGTGCTCCACAGGACTGTGTGTGGAGAAGAGTCGACGCTGTGACGGCCTGGACGACTGCCAGGATGAGAGTGACGAGGTCTTCTGCTGTAAGTTCACCAGGTTACTGTACTGGCTCCTTAAAATAACACAATTATACCAATCATATCAAATGTTGCATATCTTCACAGCAAAGCCTACGAAGAACTGTGGGGGCAGCAGTCCTCTGCATCCTCTGTTCGTATGCAATGGAGAGATAGACTGCACCAATGGAATAGATGAGATGAACTGCACTCAGGGTTTGAACCTTTGCTATTACTATGTGTTCCCTTCACATCCTTTGATCACTGACATTGCAATGTGTTCTCTGCTTTTGTCAGAAACGACCTGCTCCGCGATCAGGTATCAGTGCAGCAGTGGCTCCTGCATCCTGAAGAAGAACGCGAGGTGTGACGGTGTTCACGACTGTCAGGACCGCAGCGACGAGGCGGACTGCGGTGAGTGGGCGAGCAGTAGAATAATGCAGGTGGAAATCTTGGTTCAATCAGATAAAAATACTGTATTTATCCTGGGGTAGATTGGTTGCTCCATTTAATACTAATAACAATCCAAAAACGATACAAATTGTATACACCATAAGATGTATTTATGTACAATAAAAGAAGCATGCAAACTTGGTGTATCGGTAAAAATAAGATATGAATGCTGAATTGCAAAGTTTAAAAGGGTCTTCTGATTGTGAAGTACATCCTAGTGCCATGTTATAACAAGATGTTTTTCCTCCATCTTTTCCATCATCACAAAGCTGTTAAAAGGAACTGTTCATGTTTAATCAACCTCATAAAGCCACATCAACATATTGTCCAACCTGAATCGTTGGCTCTTGATGAAGGAATTGATGCTTGGTGATTATACTGCCAGTCCTCTGCCATGTCCTTCATGGGAAAGTTGTTATTTTATAACTCACCGGGCAGCGCGCTCCAAACCTGCTGACCTGCAGCAGCGAGGCGACCCCGCTGTAATGACTCTCTCTGTTAGCGGGTATTTTATCATGATGGGGTCTGCAGGTGATGGGAACAGAGATGTCTTTGATCACCCACTGATACTGCACATTTGAAAAACTTTACTTTTTAATAAGGCTGCAGCCGGCCTATCTGTCATGGTGACGACTCAGCAAGTCCACTTGGAAAACACACACTCCTATTGCAGCTCACACTGATAGAGTGACACAGCGCTCATATAAATCCTTAATAGATTGGAGTCTTATTCTACTGTTAGGCTTGAACGTCTTGAGTTTACACTTTGGTCTCCTCAGCCTGTGGTCGTCCCTCCCTGGTGAAGAAGGTGGACTCCTCGACAGGTCGTATCGTGGGGGGGGATAACTCTGCTGAGGGAGAGTGGCCGTGGCAGGTCAGCCTCCACTTCTCTGGGAACCTGTACTGCGGGGCGTCTGTCCTCTCCTCTGATTGGCTCATCTCAGCTGCACACTGCTTCAGCAAGGAGAGGTCAGTGACTCTCACTGCTGATAAACTACTTCCTGTTTGTGTTACATGGCCACAACCACAGATTTTATATTTTTGAACACTTTCAGGTACTTGCCTTTAGATTTGGAACCACTGTGTTTTAAAAATGTTTCAATGTGTCACAAAATATTAATAAATTGCCTGCAATGGAAAAGGTTTAATAGAAAGTGTGTGTATTGCCCACGTTTTTCTTTTTTCTTTGCAGTATAGAGCAGCTGTGTACCTAAATGTTTAATTAAACATAGTATAATCTTAATTGACCTCCGACCTCTGACCCCAGGCTGTCTGACCCGCGGTTCTGGAGAGCCCACCTCGGCATGCTGACTCAGGGCGGTGCCAAACACACGGCGGAGATCCAGCGGATCGTGGTGCACGAGTACTACAACGCGTACACGTTCGACTACGACATCGCCCTGCTGCAGCTCAAGAAGCCGTGGCCGGCCTCCCTCCACCCGCTGGTGCAGCCGGTGTGCCTGCCCCCCCCCTCACACACCGTCACCGACAACCACCGCTGCCTCGTCACCGGCTGGGGGTACCGCTCTGAGGAGGGTAAGCATCTCTTTGGATACAGATTACTGACTTTAATCAAATCAAATCAAAGGTTATTTATATAGCCCCTCTATCACAAGGATAGTCTTCAGCACACTCTTACAAGTTTGGACAGGGTCTGCCTCTCTAATAAATGAAAATGTATAAAGTAACTTCTGTTTAAGCCCCCAAAATGTGTGTTTATCTGTGTCCACATGTCCCCCCCCCTGCAGACAGAGTGCTGCCCTCAGTGCTGCAGAAAGCGGAGGTGTCCCTCCTGAGCCAGACTGACTGTAAGAAGAGCTATGGACCCGTGTCCCCCCGCATGCTGTGTGCCGGGGTCCCCTCCGGAGAGAGGGACGCCTGCAGGGTGAGCTCCCATCTGTCTTAGACCCCCATACTCACCTGCGTTTTAATATATAATAGTGGGTGTGAAGGATTTTTCATCGACTACATTCCTTGTGTTTTAGGGGGATTCAGGGGGTCCTCTGTCCTGCCAGGCGCCGGGCGGGGGTCGCTGGTTCCTCATTGGCATCGTCAGCTGGGGTGCGGGCTGTGGGAGACCGGGCCTACCGGGGGTCTACACCAGGGTCAACAAGTTCACCTCCTGGATCTACAGCCATACCAGCTGACACGATGAAAGGATTATTCATCCAGTGTCGGCAGGAAACTTAAACATTCTGTCTTTCACACCAAAAAATAAAAGCATCACTAAAAGCATGTATGTCGATTGTATTTTTCCAGAGCAACATCTGCTTTGTTGGGGATCTCTCACTTTATTAAGAGCACTCAAAGGTAAACAAATATGTTAATTCTCTTCAGGTGTCTTTGCTGCATTCCTCCCTCTAGTCTCCATGTTATGTCCCCACAATTTGGTGCCAGCATTTGTAATTGTGTGTCTTGCTTGGAGCCCCTGTGGAGCGTCCAAGCAGCCAAGCTCCAGCAGTAATACCTTGGGCACGTTTCCCTCAAGCTCCCCTTTGTCCCTCCCAGCTTTCCTCCCATACGCAGCGAGGAAGTTTGCCCACAATATCTGTCGCCCGGATGGTTGTGGGGATTGTACCCTTTCATAGTGCTCTCATTGTGCCCCGCACTGCATTCTGGGGGCTCCGTGTGACACCTGCCACCCACTTCAGGTGAACGGGAGGCGGTGAAAGCCCACTGCATCCGAGCCGCTCAGGTCGGATTTCTGCGCTTTTTTTTTTCAAAAGGGAAGCGACAGCGGGAGTTTCCTCTCTCTTTCTCTCTCTCCATCATTTCTATGCCTGAGGTATTGTTGCATATCGCCTCTGCGGAGCTAAACGGGACAGTGCTATGAGGACTCTCCCCAAAAGCAAAACTTGCGAAGTGTACTGCGTCTCCGGGCATGGACTCTCAGGCTGCTCCGCTGCACAGGTAAGCGCTCTTTTCATTGGGCGTAACAGATCATTGTGCCAAATGTGGCTTTGCTACTATACTCTTAATATTTATTCTATATGTTTCTGTTGCCAAATGAGTGTTTATTGAACTTGTATACCTGAATGATGCTTAATAATCCAAACCCCAGTCAGCCATGGGTCATCTTAATTGCTAAATCTGTCTCTAGGGGTGTGTGGGTGTCTTTCTCATGAATGTCCGGGGTGAGCCACTTGATTGAGTGCTGACACCGCAGAGCCAGGCCGTGGGAAAGCAGACTCGTCTAGCCACGCTTTGTCTGCCCCCCCGGGGAATCCTGCCAACCCCTTAAATGTTTTAGGAGATCCTTTCAGCTCCAAGATGCTCACCGTTCCTCTCAGTGCAGCACTCAGCCATTAAACCTGTGTCTCATTCAGGTCAAACACTGCCTTAAGATATTGCTGTCATCACTTCAGAATGAACAGACGGAACTTGAGCACACACATAAGGAAGCTGGTATGATATTTGAGTCTTTATTTCTGGAAGGGAGAGGGGGAGTTGAAGGAGCCCATCCAGCCACTGAGCCCCCCCACGAAGCCTGAGGATCGGGCGGAGGAGAAGGTGGAGGGGGGGAAAGCTCCAGCCTCCTGGAGGAGATGGATGTTCGGCGTCCTGCCTTTATTTCCCCTCGCTGCTGCCATTGCACTGACTCTCCACTTCCTAACATGTGAGTACACACCTTGTGGACTTTTCTTATTTTTTGATTTTTGACTCGCATCTTATTCATATCTCTGCAGCTCCACCTTCCTCAGTGTTCTTCCTCGGGGGCAGCGTGGAGTTCCCAAACCTGAGCTTCACCTCGGAGCTGACGGACTCCTCCTCCCCTCAGTTCCGCCTGCAGGCTCAGGCTTTGAACCACTATGTAAGTGGAGCGATGGACCTGTCCGTCTCTGAATGTCATTTAAGTTGCTGCTTGACCTTCACACTCGGGGCTGATCTCGCTGCTCTTACTTTGACTTTGTACTCTCCTAAATTATTCACAGCTGCCCTCTTTCTCCTTCCCTCTTTTCTGTCTTTACGTTCCTATTTCTTTAGCTTTGTCCTCCTCCTACCTTCAGTGTTTTGTCACCACTTTCCTCTCCTCTGCCCCTCTCTCTGGTGGTGTTAAATGTAAAGCTGAAACTGGAGCTGGGCACAGTCAGTGTGCGAGTTCCCCGGACCCCCAGAGACCCGAGCCTTTCAGGGCCGAGGACAAGCCCGGCGTTTGTGAGCCAGGCTAGGCCCCGGCAGCAGAGTGAGAGGAAGAGCAGGCCTTCAATAAAAACATTGTCTGTGTGGTTTTCACACAATCAGCCGCTCTGTGTGTCGCACACTACAGAGAGGAGGTGAACCTCCGTTTGTTGATGGGGGTGAGAGGGAGAGATAGGGCAGTAGGGCCGGGGGGGTGAGAGGATGACAGAGGGGACATTTTGAGGCAAAAGGTCAGATGCCTGAGCCGTGGAGAAACGACGATCTGACAGGTGGGAGAAGTATTCAGATCTTGTAAAAGTATCAGAGAGTAGGAATACTCTTACATCTGAATTGTAGTTGAGTAGAAATACAAAGTAGCAGAAAATGGAGATAAAAAGGGTACTTAAATACAGCATTACATATACATGTACTTGGTTACTTTACAGCACTGCAAACTGATAGGTATAAATACCCACAAACCTACTGACACACTGTAAGGCTCCTTTAATCGGCTGTGAGGGTCAGTTAGCCCGGCTTGTGAAGTGGACAGGATCTGTGCGGCCATCTGTTCATTAAAGACCAGGTGAACTGGAGGCCAGCAGCCCATACCACCCTGGGTCCTAACTCCACGCTTCACACACAATGAAGCTCTGTGCGAGTCAACATGCACACATGCAGAGTTCGATACACACACAAGAACAATGCGTTTGTTGAAGGCAGGCTGCATGTCCGACCAGGTGTGTTCATGTGTTGCTTACACGGGAAAAGTGACCTCACCTGCTCAGCTCTGATGTCACACCTCCAGCTCTACTGTACAGTATGTAGTCAAATAAACTAGCACAAAGCAGCTTTCAATTCTGTGCTGCGAACTAGATCTGAGAAAATCTTGAGAAAACTATTAGTTCATAATGACCCTAATGAAAAACAAAAAAGAACCTACATTGTAAACCTTGATGTCATTGGTTATATGCTATGTTTAGGTACCTTTTAGCTCACTCTTTGTATTCATTTTCTTGTTAACATTCATCTTAAAAGTCTCAATCATAAGACAATAATGCAAGATAAAAGAGTATGTGTTACACCCTTCTTCTTCGTCTTTTTATTTGAAATAAACACAGTTTTCAGAACTCTACGAGTCCTCGCCGTGTAGCTCTTACTACGTGAACTCAGGAATTACTGCCTTCAGGTAAGATGCACCAACAGAAAGCATACTGAGTTCATACATACGAGGAACATGCATGACTTCTACATACTCTGCTGTATTTCATTGTAAACCCTTTGTGTGACAGTGAAGGAGATGAAGGACTGAATGTCTTCTACTGGAGTAAGTTCTCCGCCCCGGACGATGTTGCCGTGGAGATCCGGAGGTCGGGTCCAGAGAGGTTTCAGCGCCGGCTCCCCGGCAGAAACAAGGTGCAGCAGGACAGCCGCAACGAGCAGCGCTACTACATGGAGCAGGACGACGACATGCTCCACCTGCTGGGTACACACTCTCACAGTACAGCATGTTCTCCACACTGTAGACGACTGGAGGGTCAGAAATATGTAGATATTAGCAGGATAACTTTATTCGTCCCAAAGAGGGAACATTTACATTGTTACAACAAAAGTGAAGAGCCAAATATTAGCGTCAAATACAAAAAGTATACAAGTTGTGTGTATAAAGTAGTGTGATGGCAGCCGGGTCACAGTAGTATAAAAGTGGAAGTATATATATTGCAAAGGTATTTTTCTTTGCTTCATCTTATCAATAACTAAAATTGTACCCGTGTATCATCAATTATGGTTGTATACTCTGTGTTGCTCTAGATTGGTACTGGATTTGAGAAGTTTTTTGACGTGTGTGTGTGTGTGTGTGTGTGTGTGTGTGTGTGTGTGTGTGTGTGGGTGTGTGTGTGTGTGTGTGTGTGTGTGTGTGTGTGTGTGTGTGTGTGTGTGTGTGTGTGTGTGTGTGTGTTGTGTGTGTGTGTGTGTGTGTGTGTGTGTGTGTGTGTGTGTGTTGTGTGTGTGTGTGTGTGTGTGTGTGTGTGTGTGTGTGTGTGTGTGTGTGTGTGTGGGTGTGTGTGTGTGGGTGTGTGGGTGGGGGTGGGTGTGTGTAGGTTTGGACCCTGACGACTTTGAAGTAGATGAAAAATCGGACAAGAGTAAGAATCCAACAGCTTCCAGAGCGGGAAGTGGCAGCTTGGCTTCCAAGGTGAGGAGGGGATCTGACTTGATGTTCATATTACAACACGTAAAGACCTGGGTATTCATAAAGCTTCCCAGTTCAAAGATGTACTACTAGCTATGACATGTGGCCCCTGTTTCTAAGTCAAAAATGTGAGGAAAAAGTGTTTATTTTTGCCATTAAAGCTGCTTTCAAGGCCATCTCTCCCTCCCTCTAGCGATGTCCTTTGACCTCTACGCCAAATACGGCAACAACCGCACCCTGAGCCTGGTGAATCCCAAGAAGCCGTACTACCAGTGGCGTCTCCGCGTGCCCTCGGGTCACGTGGTCCGCCTGGTGGTCCTCACGCTGCACGGTGCCACGCCGGGGAGCTGCACCGCCCACAAGCTCTCCGCCTACGACTTCCTACTGCCATTACAGAACAAGATAATCGCAAGGTAAAGTTTTCTCTGTGCAAACATGTCCTGAACAGTGAAAAGAGAAAACGGTGTCCAACGGTGAAACACTCGTTAGTGCAGCAGTCAGTCGTACAATTAAATACAGAAGTAAATCCCAGATCAAATGTATGTTAAAGGCACTTAGAAATATAGTCTTCAGTGGTTGTAATGTTATATTAAATGTCTGTTTCCTTGTTTCTTATCTTAATATTGTCCTTGTTCATGTTGCAAATGGAGCTGCTGTGATGCAAGAGTATGATGGTGTTGTAACATGTAACATATCCTGGGTGCATGTACGTGTCTCAGGTGGTGTGGGCTTCCTATTTCCCGTTCGTCTCCCGTCATGAAGCTGACGTCCTCTGGGAACGTGATGTTGGTCACCTTCTCCTTCAGCAGGCAGAGGGACGGAGCCATCTTCAAAGCTTACTTCCAAGCCATCCCAAAAGCAGGTGAGAAAGCTCTTACAAACACACAACGTCATCACAATCAGAAATCCTTTACAGCGTACCTTTCAGCTAAGGGGACAGATTAAGAAAACATTAAATAGTAGAATTACATCATGGATAAAGAGGCAAGCGCACGTTTATAAAATACAAATCAAATAAGTACACATCCAAGCTAGACAAGATAAGTAGCAGCATTAAGACAAATAAATGAAAATATTAAAAAAGTATAGTTTAAAACACTATATATAACACATACAATTTCTACTACTCTTCAGTCTTTAATCGTGAGGTTTCTTTGGGAGTTTGTCCTTGTTACTGCGAGGGTCCAAGGACAGATATGCTGTAAAAACCGAAAGCCTTTGTGATATTGAGCTATATCAATAACGTTTTATTGACGGATATGTTGAGTTACTTTGCCCTGTTGCTGTTGTGTCTCCTTCACTGTGTCACTGTCTCCCCCTGCAGGCTGTGGAGGGTCCATTTCCTCCTGGAACGGCTCCATTTCCTCCCCATACTACCCCTCCTATTACCCCCCTAACATAGACTGCGCCTGGACTCTACGGGTGAGTGTGTGCACACAGGCTAAAGCGTGTTAGAAGGAAGAAACAGTAAAACATTGAATTATGTCTTGTTATCTGTCATTTGGCACGTTCTGAACGCTCTCTTTGGTCCTCTATGCATACCTTCAGACGCCGTTGCCAGGATACCTGATCTCCATGACGATCGTGATGATGGACATTCAGGACGCCTCGTCTGATGGATGTGAGAAAGACTGGCTGGCCATCGGAGGGGTCAAGTAAGACTAAACTGAACCGTGTGGGCCTCAAGCTGTAACATTAAGAGACATTTTTACTTCATTTATGTGTTTTTTCGTATAATTGTGACTTTCTTTGTGGCTACATTTGTCATTTAAAAGTAATACACCATACTTTTGTGCTCCTCTGCTTCCAGGCTGTGTAACCCAGTGTCGGACAGCAGCAGGAAGCGAGTGTACTCCTCTCCCATCTCCCTCCACTTCCATTCAGATGAGTCTCTCACTCACAAGGGCTTCTACCTGCTCTACCGAGCCTTCTCTCCAGAGGGCAGTGAGTCAAATCTGATGCTTTCAAATAAAGGGGAGGAAATCAATTCATGTAATATTATCTCCTACATTCTTTATTGATTTACAACTTCCAGGAATCGATATTCTGAAAAATATAATTTCCTTAAGAGGCAGAAAGCCTAAGCCCACAAACATCTTGCATTTTAATTTTTTGTACAACTTGATGTTGCTTAGAATTGAAACATACTAAACACTTTTGGAGTTTACTTTTGTAAATCCGGCATAAATAAATGTTGCATTTTGTGTGTTCGCATTATTGAAATCGGTTGATATAACTTCTTCAAATACAAAAACTCCATCTATATCTCTAAAATAAAAATGTAATCAGATCATGTGACACGGAAAGACTCACAGTCCTACTTTCAAACTGTAATTTACAGAGAGGAGAGTTGTTCATTCAGACTACCCGGGGTTAAAACATCAACCTTTACACTGTACTGTATATTTGAGTCTCTTTCCTGTGCCTCCAGCCTGTCCTCGGGAGTTTCGCTGTGGAGACGGACGCTGCGTCCCTCTGAGGAAGGTGTGTGACAGAGTGAAGGACTGCTCAGACGGACGAGACGAGGCTAAATGCTGTAAGTCTTTTGCCTGAGAGACTAGATGCAAACACGTCCCCCATTTTCTATATTCTGAACTTAAGACCTGACCTTTGTGCTGCACTCAGATTTGCCTGTGTTTGTGTGTCTCTATGTGCATGTTTGCACATATGCATAAAACATGTAGCATCCTGCAGGCCAGGTGAAGTGCAGTGTGGGAACGGCCAGTGTAAGCCTCAGAGCAGCCAGTGTGTGATTCAGAGCAGCAACTGTGCAGACAGCAGCGAGGAGGGCGGCTGTGGTGAGTGCAACATCAACATCTGTGTGTGTGTGTGTGTGTGTGTGTGTGTGTGTGTGTGTGTGTGTGTGTGTGTGTGTGTGTGTGTGTGTGTGTGTGTGTGTGTGTGTGTGTGTGTGTGTGTGTGTGTGTGTGTGTGTGTGTGTGTGTGTGTGTGTGTGTGTGTGTGTGTGTGTGTGTGTGTGTGTGTGTGTGTGTGTGTGTGTGTGTGCATTTTAAGATTAAAACTGATGCGTTTGTTTACAGGAGGTAAATGTTACCACGTGTGCCCCAACAAGGTCTGTCTGCAGAAGTCTTCTGTGTGTAACGGTGTTGTTGACTGCAAAGACCGCAGCGATGAGCTCAACTGTACCAGAGCATGTGAGTGTTCCTCAGACATCACAATTTAAGTGTATTTTCTTAAAAAATTGTATTTCTACGTGCTTTTCTCTCTATTTTAAAGGATCCTTGTGTCCCACTCTTTAGACTTTAAAGGCTGCTCCTCCTCCTCGTACAAATGTTCCAATGGGAAGTGTGTGAGTAAGGTTAACCCCGAGTGTGACGGAGTAAAAGACTGCTTTGACGGCTCTGATGAAATGCGCTGTGGTAAGTTCTCACTCCAAAAACTCAACCTTCTCTAATGGCGACTAAAACTGACATTTCAAAAGAGAATTCTGCTCTTGTTTGCGTCTCCTCCTCCGTCTGCATGTCCCAGGCTGTGGCACCAGGCCCAGGAAGAGGACTAAGATCGTGGGGGGCTCTGATGCCGGGGCGGGGTCCTGGCCGTGGCAGGTCAGCCTCCAGATGGATCGATACGGTCACGTCTGTGGAGCCACGCTGGTGGCTAACCGCTGGCTCATCTCTGCAGCTCACTGCTTCCAGGACTCAGACGCCATAAAGTGAGAAAGAACGCTTCTTACTGGACTCCACCACTTTTCCCTTCAGCAACCGTTCTTTATCCATCTGTATATTGTGTCTTCATATTGTACCTTTCACATGTAATTGAATATGCTATTCCTTGCACACTTAATGTAAATAATATCCTCATTTTAAATGTTGTTAGCTGTAAGTTGGCCCCTCATAGTGCTTAATTAACAGATAGTCTACAGATGTAATGTCTTTCACTTTAAACATTTTAGTTCTGTTTTATTTTCTATTTTGAGAAGCGTATGTTTGTTTGTTTTCTACACATGCTGCTGTGACGAGAACATTTCCCAAGATGGGATCAATAAAGTGAATCTTGTGTTATGTGTGTGTTCCTGATGTTGTGCCTCAGATACTCAGACGCCCGTGCGTGGCGGGCCTACCTGGGGATGCGTGTGATGTCTGTAGGGAGCAGCGGCGCAGCCACCAGAACGATCCGCCGCATCCTGCTCCACCCGCAGTACGACCAGTTCACCTCCGACTACGACATCGCCCTCTTGGAGCTCAGCGCCCCCGTCTTCTTCAACGACTTGGTGCAGCCCGTGTGTGTTCCTGCGTCCACACACAGCTTCACAACAGGCACCAACTGCTACGTCACAGGGTGGGGGGTGCTCATGGAGGACGGTAAGAGCTAACTTTTTGAAACAAACTTGAAACGACCAATTTTTTTATTTTCAATACGTTTTGATTTTGTTTCGATTAAAGGTGAGCTGGCCTCTCGCTTGCAAGAGGCCCCGGTGAAGATCGTCAACAGGAACACGTGTAACAAGCTGTACGACGACGCTGTCACTCCCAGGATGCTTTGCGCTGGGAACCTGCACGGAGGGGTGGACGCCTGCCAGGTGAAGTATTCATTTTTCTAGAAATGTGGCTTGCCTTATTGAATTCAATTTAAATTCAATAATTCCCAATACATCTATACAAACCACAACAGAATGTGTGTAAAATAATTGGGACTCATACATTCATATTTATTTTGGTCATTATGCTGTGTGTCTCTATGTGTGAAGGTGAATAGCAACGCAGCTAAGATAATGCTTAACACATTTCCAATACAGCTTGAAAACTGGAGATGGCCAATGTAAAACTAGTTACAAGTTTAAAATAATATATAGCATCAAAAAGTCAGTAAGACCATTTCAATCAGGAGAGACTTCATTTTGTTTAAAGAACATTTATTGAAATGCAGCCGTGAGCTTATAGGGAACCCCCCCGGGGTCTAGACACTGGTGGTGATGCTAAAGATCTGGATTTGATGAGGAGATGGGATGAAGAGGGGATGTGATGAGGTCTTTGGATTAGCTCTCTTGGCACTGGATGTGATGAAAGGAGGTGGATGGGGAGGAGGCGGGCGGCAGCATGAATGCCTGAAATCACAGCTGACTGCAGGAGAGAGGAGAACCATTTTGAAGTTTGGCTGCAGCACGGTGATTGGCTGCTGGAGATTGAGGTGGATGTAATAGGTCAACAGAAAGCCCGTGATGAGCTGATTATAAGCAGTTGCGGAGTGAATGAATACCAGTCTTCCTGAAAGAGTGTGTGTGTGTGTGTGTCCTCAGGGAGACTCAGGAGGCCCGTTGGTGTGTCTGGAGCGAGGCCGCCGCTGGTTCCTGGCGGGGATCGTGAGCTGGGGCGAGGGCTGCGCGCGGCAGAACCGTCCCGGCGTCTACACCCAGGTGGTGAAGTTCACCGCCTGGATCCACCAGCAGACTAAAGGACAGGTGTGACTGAACACCACACTGACATGAAGAATAAAACAAACAGTCTTAACACACAGGACAGAGGTCTCAGACCTGGAGTCCATCTTCAGACGGTTGTCGTGATTTCACGGCAACACATTCAGTCCGTTTTTTGGGAGCGTGTCCATGGCAACGGGCCAGCACGGGCCATCCTCAATGCTCAAACAACCAGCTTCCTCAAAATTGACATCGGCTATGGCAAAAATAGGTAACCTGTTTATTTTTACTTGATTATGGGTCGTTAAACATAAATAAATAAAAAACCCAACCACACTCTATTAAAGTATCCCATACACAATTTACAAGATTCTTTAATATAAACTAACTGATCTGTGGGTCAATATTTAATTCTAAAGTCAGGCCAAAGTATGATAACTAGCCAGGTTATCTTGTGCATATAAATGTAGCTGAGTACTTCCTGTATTGCCTGTCACAGCGATGGTTCACTATAGTGTCCAATCAGGTGTTGCCAACAACAATCACTGTGGAAAGAGTTCTCTCCGGACACACACATGTAACCGTATATTTCTCATCTGCATTCGTCCATGTACTGTATATGTGTGTTCATGTTTGTGGTTATTGTACTGTACTGTGTGTATGTGCATTTCATGAGTTGAGTCGTAGCATTATGTCCAATATATTCTGTAATGGTAGAGAAGTGAATAATCCCTCAATAGGAGGTGATAATATATTTTGCATTTCAGTTTGATTTAATTTATCTTTACGGTGCCTCCTTTATACTTTATGCTCCATGAAGAGTGTGACGACTACTCCCCTTTAAACTCTGATGCTGCCTTACGATCAATATAAGATCATTTTATACCAATATTTTCTACGCAGACGCACATGCATGTTCCTGTTCCTCCCATCAGCATACATCACCACCCTGTGGCCAATGCACACTATTTTTTATTTCATGTCCTGAGGGAATAATGCATTTTACACCCAAAGGATGTAGGGTTTGAATCATTGATAAGGATACCAGATAATATGCTTTTACATTAAAGAAACCATTTCCAATGCAGCAGGTCCTGACAAAACTGTTTTAATTATTGCTGCAATTTTCTTATTACCTATACTGTTTTGTGTTTTATAATTTCCACAAGTGAAATTAGGTTTTATATAATGTTCTTCATCTAAACTATTGATTCATTGCCTCATTTGTTGTTGGTGCTTTTGACTGAAAAGTGTTCAATATGACTCACCTGTACAGCACAATCGTTTTTACTCTGCACTATCACTAATAATATAACATAAGCAGGAAGTCACATTCAAATGTAGGATTCCTGTCACTGTTTCCGAGTTGCGTAAAGTGTTGCTATTCAGAGGTTAACACTTCTTTATTTACTTTAAAACAAAAAATAGATCACCCATTTCGCAATATCAGAAACACAACTGTCAAGTTGAGGAACCAACCGTGTTCTCCGGTGCCTACGTGCTGATCATCCCGTTTACCAATCCAGAGTGCAAACCATGGTCGTGCCCATCCAAATGGTGGTTCGTAATTCTACTCTTCTGGAAATTACAAAACATGCAGATTATTAGAAAGGAAATTAAATGTTAATGTCGAAAATAATGCTTAAGAATTTGACTAAAAGAAAGAGGTTTTTTTTTTTGCACCATTTAATTTAATTTACAACTCACTGGTCGATTGCTTGATCACTGGGTAGAGCTAAAAGGGGGACTGCTCTTACGCGCCTTGGGTGTGTCAATGGACGTCACGGAAGTCCGCTATCCGGTGGCTGCACTGTGGGAACTGTATATATCCGCGCCACTATCCAAAACGATGGGAAAAAGTTGCACTGGAGTTCAAGCGTGGTGTCCTGTTGCGTGATCTCCCGCAGCTATCCTCAGGAAACCAACCAGCTCCATTCACTGACCATCAGTGCGCTGAGTTACTCTGGAGGGGCAAACACATCAGCAGGAATAAAACTCCTTCCATCATTTACATTTGAAACCTCGCTCGCTGCTCGGGAGTCACCAGAGATGATGAACCTTATCCTCATCTGCCTGCTATGTGGATTGTATGGAGTGCTTGCAAAAGGTGAGTAACAAGTGTTAGAGATCACCTGCTGTATCAACGAGGTAGTGTTCACATACCTATTTAGTATTTTAATTCACAGGCAAATGTTTGTTAGTTTTGCTTCAAATGTTATGCATGTGGGAAAGTGCATTTTACGCACGACTTTTATTATTTACCATAAGCTGGAGAGTCCTAGGTAATAATGCGTCTTGACGCTCTTTCAAAACCGTTATACATTCAGTCTTCACTTTGGAGGAACACAATAGACGCACAGATGCGCCTCTTTATGGCTCATTTATTGGTCAATTAAGCCGTCGGTGCGGTCGTGTGTCTGGGGCAGTCCGGCTTGTAAACCTCTATTAGTGCCGAGTGCAGTGGGGGAGATAAGCGCTATCCTGCGGGACACTTGTTTGGATAATGCGCACCCCTTTGGCCCGGCTCCTTGTGCGCTTGGCCCCGGTTGAATGGACACACGCAGGGCGTTGTTTCCTGAGACTGATGAGTTTCTCTAATGAAAAGTTCAGATTGAACAGAGCGAGGGGTCATGACCAGTATGAGGAAAATATCCAGAGAGCAGGAACAGGGGTTCATCTCTGCTTGTTGCTCAAACCCTCCCAATCTACCTCTGTGCTGTTATTCATTACTTCAATTATTCTCAAAGAAAAAAAAGTTCATATAATTCATCATGTAGCTAGACTGTTCAGATGATCTAGTTAATCTCTTTTACTGAATTTAATATATATTTTATATTCATGACTAACACACATTGAGCAGTCACGGCTTTTTAAATACTTGTTTTAAATGTTTAGTTTATTTGAGAAGTTAAAAAACGAATCTACACAAATAACTTTGAATGGCCTTACTTTGATCGGCATTACGTATTTATAGTTTGGGATTGTTTAGTGTAATTGTTGACAATATTCTAAATTTAAAAGAAATATACTATATTAATAATTAGAGAGATGTGTCCAACATGCATAATCATACATTCATAAAGACATTTAACATAGTTACCGTCAGTTAGTTATTATATTAACCTTATAGTGTTTTAAAAAATGTAAAATACAGGTGGATATATTTTTAGAAAACCAATGTAATAAAGCCCACACCTATGACATGATGCATAACGAAGTCATTTTAATTATAACAACAGTAAGTTGGCTTAATTGGTTCTTTTAAAATCCAGACAATTTCTCCAGAAAAATGTTGTCTTCGTCAGTTTGAGGCGTATCAGATCAAATGTAGTTTTATCACCCCCAAAAGTTACGAGGTTCACTGGGAGAAATCTTGAACAATCGTTTCAAAAATGTATTTAAAATCCTCAAATGTTCATCACAGTCAGTTAAAGTTTCCGATACCTAAGTGTGTGTTTTTCACTTTGCTGTGGTTTAAAATGTGTGATTTAGAAATAAAAACATCTTTCTAATGAAATCAGCAGGAAAACTGCGCTGTGTTTTCGACCCTTCACAGCTTGTTGAAAAGGCCCTGACTTCCCCTCCGTCTTCCCTTCCCCGTGTGTGTGTGTGTGTGTGTGTGTGTGTGTGTGTGTGTGTGTGTGTGTGTGTGTTTGTGTGTGTGTGTGTGTGTGTGTGTGTGTGTGTGTGTGTGTGTGTGTGTGTGTGTGTGTGTGTGTGTGTGTGTGTGTGTGTGTGTGTGTGTGTGTGTGTGTGTGTGTGTGTGTGTGTGTGTGTGTGTGTGTGTGTGTGTGTGTGTGTGTGTGTGTGTGTGTGTGTGTGTGTGTGTGTGTGTGTGTGTGTGTGTGTGTGTGTGTGTGTGTGTGTGTGTGTGTGTGTGTGTGTGTGGGCTACTCGCACACTGTGAAATTCAAGGAAATGGTTAGGAAGTGCTAGCAGTGTGAGTAATGCCAGATCTGCTCAATGGGGCATCCACTGGGAACAATGATGCTGACAATGAATGGTAATAATGGACGTTAGTGAAAAGCCTGCTGCCAAACAACTGATTTAATACTCGGAGCAGAGACAGTTGTGTTTTGAGCAGTTTTCTGTGCAGTCAGAGTGAAGGACGGACTTCCCTGAACGATGTTTCCGCTGTTGTTGTGAGGAAGGAAGGGCGGACAGACAGTCGTCTTCATCTCTCATTAATAAACCTCAGCGATGGAGTGGAGAAATGCATTGATTTGATAAACAAAAAGGACACTGCTTACGCATTTCCACAGCGAGTTGTCAAGTGGCCTGAGCGAGGAGATGTGCCGAGGGGTCAAAGATACCGTGTCCTGGATGGAGTACGTGCCGTGGAGCCGGGACACACCAAGACTGGTTCCGCCATCAGTCAAGAGTCCGGTTTAGTCCGGTTTGTGATGCTCAGAGCTTACAGGAACTGTCCACAATGTTTATTGGTTGTAAAGTGTTTTGTCCTCCAGGATTTCCTTGGAAAGTGGGCTCATAGTTAAGTGACAACACAAAGGGACTTAGAGTCTCGTTCATGACGCCCAATTATATATTATATATATGATGCGTCTTTTAGGGTTATTAATAAACAAGACGCCCTGTTTCAATGGAGTCCAAGAACTCTAATCCCAATTTCAGAGCGTAATCAGAATCTGGTGCTGATTTAGATTTCTGATGAACCAATCCTCATCACATTAGAACTGCAAACAGATTACCTATACAACGTTTTGGGATTTTGCCGCTACTACATGTCTTCTCATCCTGTCTTATCTCTGCAGACAAGGCTCAGAAGGGGAAGTACAGCGTCCCGATTCTAGATGTGAAAACCCGGCAGCTGGTCCTCGACACCAACCAGACGCTACTGCTCAGCTGCAGGTGAGTTTCAGGTAGAAGGATCCAGGTCAGGAAACCCTCATATGGAAATTGGTGCAGCATTGCAATCACCATGATTGAATCAAAGCAATCCCTCCAAACATTTCCATCTTTAATCCTTAAAAACACAAAAAACATGACAGAAAAGGAAGAGGAAACATCCATACAGTAGCATCCTCATTAGCTGGAGGTGAATGCCGATCTCAAGGTTTCAAGTTTCAAGGCTTTTATTGTCATGTGTGCATTAGCTACAGTGTAGTTATGACAATGAACATCTGAGGTCACAGGCTCCTCCAACAGTGCAACACAATACAACAGAAAACATAGAATAGAATAGAAACAGAATATAATAGAAACTGTGCAGAATAGTCATTGGAATATTGATATATATGAGATGCAGATTAATGTTATGTATGTTCTTTCGAATCTAAAGATTTCTGTGTGATTTCTGAGGAAACGTTCATCTTCATGTTGAGCAGGGGTCGCTGGGAGCTGGCGTGGGCCTTCCCCTCAGGTCTGCTTCGAGGCGAGGTGCAGGTGGAGGAGTTTCGCTGTGGGAGGACGGGGAAGCTGTTCTGCAGCCGCCTGACGGTGAGCAGCACCGAGACCCAGCACACCGGCCTGCTCCGCTGCAGGTACCGGCACCGGACCCGCAGGCAGACCTCCATCTACCTTTATGTCACAGGTAAGACACTGCTGCGAGGTCCAAGAGTACAACTGGAAAACATCAAGACCCTCACTCCTCCCCCCCCCCTTATGCTTATTGTTTATATCCCCAGGTTAAACAGGATGTGGTGGGTGCTAAATACAGCCCAATGCCAGAGACAATTATATCTAAACACTGTTTGTCCCAGCAACACATCCTTCTAGATGACTCTGGACGCCCTCCTCCCCTGCCTCTCTCTTCTCAGTCCTACTCCCCTGTCATCTATATATAAATAAATCCTTTTTTACTTTCGTTTACGTGCTACCTAGAGGCCAGGAATAGCCCAGCTGCTGAAAGGCTCAGGCCTGGGCAGAGTTTCCCAGGGCATCAGCCTTATCTGCTCGGCTCAGCCTTGCATGGAGCATCCTGTGCTTGGGGGAGGAGGGGAAGGGAGGGGATGTCGCTGTGTCTCTACAAGGTGGTGGCGGGGAGGTGTGTGTGTGTGTGTGTGTGTGTGTGTGTGTGTGTGTGTGTGTGTGTGTGTGTGTGTGTGTGTGAGAGTGAGGATAAGATGAAGGCTG